GAAGCGTCAACCATTTCTGGCCGGCAACTTTCAGCGTCATTAAGCCACTGCGCCACCGCAGCTCTACCACCTCATTTTTTGACAAATTAGTCTATCAATAGCTCCCTTTGGATGGGAATTCAAAGGGGAAAAGGCTAGCAGGGTCATAAACAGATGTGCATAAAAACATTATTGAGTAACATGAGCAAGAAAAGAAGGCACTGATCAATAGAGGAGGTAGCCAAACTCACCAATATTGTCTCTGGGAATGAAATTAAACACATTTAAATCAAGAAGGAAGAACAATCTTAAATGATACTCAACAACAACCCTCCTCCATAGGCATCTGCAGGAGGGCAAGGAGGCAAAGGTCAAAATATACCTAGTGACATGAACTCCACCCATAATGTCATGCAAGTTTAAAATAGTAGAACTTGCATCATAATTCACAACACATGAACACTGGTATCAGTTTGGTTAGGAATGGATGCATATATCCCTCCCTTATTTGAATAGTCAGGACTCAGTGTCAAAGAGAATAAGCATTCTCTGAAGCTGCTTAATGATCAAGATGTTAGATTTGACATCATTTCTGTGGCCTTGTGTTTGCCACCTTCTACCTCATATGAAACAGTGATGAACATTGCACACAAGTATGTTTTAGAGTTGATAAGGAAGCATTCCTATTACAAATGTTTAGTCTAACATTTACTTCAAATAAAATAAAAATAGCATAAAAACAACAGAAGTCATAGAGGAGGTAGCCAGACTCACCAATATTGTCTCTGGGAATGAGATTAAACACCACATTTAAATCAAGAAGGAAGAACAATCTTAAATGATACTCAACAACAACCCTCCTCCATAGGCATCTGCAGGAGGGCAAGGAGGCAAAGGTCAAAATATACCTAGTGGTCTATTTAGGACACCATCGGGATGAAGCATTCAAGAACAAAAATCAAATAAATTGGAAATCTGAAAAATACAAAAATAAAAGAGGTAGTAGGTGTAACAGTTGGAGGCAGGAGATGGAGAAAATATCAGAAAGAAATTAAGCTGAGAAGTGAGTAGAGTTTAAAACAGATATGAAGTATCTGCTGACTTCCAGATTTATTTTAGGCTGCAACTTACTGTATATCAGTTCTAATAATTGACTATGATGGATGGAGTTGATGGAAATTTGTCCAGCAATATATAGAAGCCATAGGCTGCTCCTTATTGAAAGAAAGAAAGAAAGAAAGAAAGAAAGAAAGAAAGAAAGAAAGAAAGAAAGAA